ATCAGATGATAACTTTAGCCTTTAGAGCGTCACAAGATTTTGCAAAGTGATCAAGGGCCATAACTTTGGCAGTAATTATCGGAAATCTTTGAAAATCAATAGGATTCTTCGTCTCATGACCTTAAACACTGTGTATAAATTTAAAGTAAATCGGATATTAACTTTAGCCTCTAGAGCGGCCACAAGATTTTTCAAAGTGATCAAGGGCTATAACTCTGGCAGTAATTATCGGAAATTGCTGAAAATCAATAGCCTTCTTCGTCTCATGACATTAAACACTGTGTATAAATTTAAGGTCAATCAGATATTAACTTTGGCCTCTAGAGCGTCCACAAGATTTTATGAATCAAGGACCATAACTCTGGCAGTAATTATAGGAAATTGCTGAAAATCAATAGGCTTCTTCGTTTCATGACCTTAAACATTGTGTATAAATTTAAAGTCAATCGGGTATTAACTTTGGCCTCTAGAGCGTCCACAAGATTTTTAAAAGTGATCAAGGGCGATAACTCTGGCAGTAATTATCGGAAATCGCTGAAAATCAAAAGACTTTTTCGTCTCATGACCTTAAACACTGTGTATAAATTTAAAGTCAATTGGATATTAACTTTGACCTCTAGAGCGTCCACAAGATTTTTTGAAGTGATCAAGGGCCATAACTCTGGCAGTAATTATCGGAAATCGCTGAAAATCAATAGGCTTCTTCGTCTCAAGACCTTAAACACTGTGTATAGATTTAAAGTCAATCAGATATTAACTTTGCTTGTGGACGCCGGACCGACAGACCGACAGACCGACGGACGGACGGACGGACGGACGGGGGCGACGACAATATACAATCAAATTTAAATGTGGGCATATAAAAATTAAAGAGTTTTCGGAATTCTATAGAATGTTAAATAAAAAGATAGGTTGCCAGGCAACAAAACATACGCCCACAGCAGCTATATCGTCCGGGCAATCAACAAGAGTTATCACATATTTTTACTTTTTTCGGTAATGAAACATTTATAATACATTAAAATCTTATTAAGATTAACAACTCATTAAGTAATTATCAGAAAACCATTAGAATTTGGTTTTTATAAAGTTCTGCCCCATGCTAACGTTTAGTATACAAAACTTTTAACATCATGTTAACATCATGACTGTTCAAGTCATAAAGATTCTTGAAAATCAATATACTTCTTCGTCTCAAGATCTTAAACACTGTGTATAAATTTAAAATCAATCAGATATTAAGTTTAGCCTCTAAAGCGTCCACAAGATTTTTGAAAGTGATCAAGGGTCATAACCCTGGCAAAAATTATCGGAAATCGCAGAAAATCACTAGGCTTCTTCGTTTCATGACCTTAAACACTGTGTATAAATTTAAAGTCAATCGGATATTAACTTTGACCTGTAGAGCGTCCACAAGATTTTTTTAAGTGATCAAGGGCCATAACTCTGGCAGTAATTATCGGAAACCGCTGAAAATCAATAGGCTTCTTCGTCTCATGACCTTTAACTTTGGCCTGTAGAGCATCCACAAGACATTTCAATGTAGGCGTATAAAAATTATGACCTCTAGAGGGACCACAAGCTAAAGATAGGTTGCCAGGCAACGAAACATACGCACACAGCAGCTACATCGTCCGAGCGGTTGACAAGGGTTGTCGCATATTTATTCCTTTGTAGGTAATTGGGGGCCTTTACAAGACAGTTCCATACAGATCAGATTATAAATTTTGTCGTTTGAGGGTTTACAAGGTTCTACAAACTGAAATAAGGGTCTCAACTCGGGAAGTAATCTACAGAAATTGTTGAAATTTGACAGGCTTTTTTCGTTTTACTAATTTAAATAATGCATATAAATTTCATACAGATCACATGATCACTTTTGTCATTCAAACGTTCACAAGGTTCACAATCGTCATAACTCTAGAAATTATTGACTGAAATTGCTGAAATTCAATAGACCTCTAGTTTCACAAATTTAAATGATGCATATAAATTTCATACATATCGGATGATAACTCTAGAAGTAATAAACGGAAATTGCTGAAATTCAATAGGATTCTTCTCTTGACTAATTTAAATGACACATGTAAATTTCATACAGATCGGCAGAGCATTAGAGTGTTCCCATGGTGCAACAAAGTGAAACAAGGGTCATAACTGTAGAAATAATTGACGTAATTTCTGAAATTCAATAGGATTCTTCTCTTGACTAATTTAAATGGCACATATATAAATTTCATACAGATCGGCAACAAAGTGAAACAAGGGCCATAACTCTAGAAGCAATCTAATTAAAATATAGATCTATATTTCGTTTCGTTTTTTATACTTTCGATGGCCTACACTACATGTAGATCTAACAAGTTATAGTAGGAGTGCACGTTCTATGACGTCAGGTACCAAGCTAGTGACCCGATAATGTCAGTCATTCGATTAACCAATTAGCGACCGCCATGCTTTTTAAAATCTACTTTTGCTTTGTTTTGATTTCTATTGCTGGTTCCGCGGAAAAAAGGTCAAACGCTCGATTCGACAGACCGTTTGATTGGCTGACCCCTCATTTCAAGCAGAACACGAGTTAAATAACAAGTCTTCCAGATATAAGTGTAGTAAAGACAAGTAAAAACGAAATTTTGAACTATAAAAAACGAAACGAAATTGGATCTGTGTTTTAATCAGATTGCTCTAGAAATGAAATGAAATGGGGTTTAACGTCCTACTCTTCAGATTGCTCTAGAAGTAGTAAAAGGAAATTGCTGAAATTCAAATAGGATTCTTCTCTTCACTAATTTAAATGACACATGTAAATTTCATACAAATCGGCAGAGTGTTAGAGCGTTCCAATGGTGCAACAAAGTGAAACAAGAGCCATAACTCTAGAAGTAATTGACGGAAATTGCTGAAATTCAATAAGCTTCTTTGTTTCACTAATTTAAATCATGCATATAAATTTCACAAAGATTGGGTGATAACTTTTGGCGTTAAGAGTATTCACAAGGTTCAATAAAGTGAAACAAGGGCCATAACTCTAGATGTAATAATTGGAAATTGCAGAAATTCAATAGGCTTCTTCGTTTCACTAACTTAAATATTGCATATAAATTTCACAAAGATCGGATGTTAACTTTTGGCATTAGTGCGTTCACAAGGCTCAACAAAGTGAAACAAGGGCCATAACTCTAGACGTAATAAACGGAAATTATTGAAATTAAATAGGCTTCTTCATCTCACTAATGCAAACAACATATATCAATTTTAAAAAAATTGGATGATAGCTTTTGCCGTTAGAGCGTTCATAAGAAATTGTGGACGATGGACAGACGGAAGGAGGCAACAGCAATATACGTCCACATTTCAATAAAAACGCGATTTTTCGTACAATCAGGGGCCATAATTCAGGAAGTTATGGTCCGATATGCGCGAATATCGAAAGCAACCGAGATCTGTGGATTATAAACATACATTTCAAGTTTAAACCAAATCGGATAAAAATTGTGACCTTTACAGTGTTCACAAGCTAAAAATGTGATTTTTCATACAATCAAGGGCCATAATCCATGAAGTTACAGTCCGATTCATGCCAATATCGAAAGGAAAATGAGATCTTTGGGTGATAAACCTATATTTCAAGTTTCATTGAAATTGGATTAAAATTGTGACCTGTAGAGTGTTCACAAACAATTGTGGACAGACAGACGGACAGGGCCGACGACAATATACGTCCACATTTTCATGTGGACATATAAAAACGTCCATTTTCACTTTTGACAGTGTACCTCTTTGCGAGTGAAATGGGGCCGTCAGATAAGCCGCCCTTATGAACTGTTTATGTTCATGTGTAGGCAATTGGCCTGTTATTAACATACAGTACACTGGTTACCTCTTAATAACCTGCGGTTGCCAGGCAGGATACGCCCACATTTTCGAGAGATGGATAGAGTCAAGCTAAAAAGAAAGTGATTTTTCCTACAATCAAGGGCCATAATTCAGGAAATTACAATTCGATATGCACAAACATCGAAAGGAACCGAGATCTTTGTGTTATAAACTTACAAATAAAAATTGTGACCTCTATAGGGTCCACAACCTTGATATACCATATTTTTAGGCTATTTGAGAACGAAGGGCGGCCATTTTGTCTGTCAGTTTTGGGCCGATTTTCACGAAATTCAAACTCTGTCGTCCTTAGGTGTAACGGTGATATAATAATACGTTTTTTTAAATCGGATAAAAATTATGACCTCTATATGGTCCACAAGCTAAAAACGCGATTTTTTGTACAATCAGGGGCCATAATTCAGGAAGTTACGGTCCGCTATGCGCAAGTATCAAAAGGAACCGAGATCTTTGGGTAATAAACTTACATTTCAAGTTTCAACAAAATCAGATAAAAATTGTGACCTCTATTGGGTCCACAAGCTAAAAACATGATTTTTCGTACAAACAGGGGCCATAATCCATGAAGTTTCGATCCGATACATGCCAATATCCAAAGCAGCCAAGGTCTTTTGGAGATAAACCTATATTTCAAGTTTCGTCAAAATCGGATAAGAATTGTGACCTGTAGAGTGTCCACAAACAAATTGTGGACGGACGGATGTCCGGACGGACAGGGGCAAAAACACCAGTGCATTTCCGAAGTTTTGTATTGTTTCTGAATATCCTCTACTTTTTTTGAAGAGTATATTATGGAAAACCTCATGAATAATGGAATAAAGTGCTGTATTTAAGTCTATTTTCTATATTTTCAAAATGTTTCTGACATACCTGAACTAGAAATCTGCCAAATTCAATGGCTATGAAAGTTTAAATTCAAAATATTGAGCCCTTTGGAATGAGATCGATTTGTACTAATATATTATATTTTTGCTTAACGGTATTAAGGAACATGTTGAAGGATTGATGAATTATTTTAATAATTCATCACTCCTTTAACATTTAAAAAGATAATTCTTGTCATATTAATTTAAACAGAACGTCTGTAAAAGATTACAACATACCAATATTTGTATCAGCTACGGACAGTACAGATGCTAATAAATAAGGTGATGGACTTATACCATAAACAACTATACTTTTATCTGGCATATAATCAATCAGGCATTGTATAAGCTTAACAAATGGAAAAGGATATTTTCCATAAGCCATTGCCGGAAGTAAAAATTTTCCAACTTGCTCCGTATAGGTCGGGCATAAGAATGTTGAAGTAACTGATCGCAAAACTCTACAACTGAAAATACAATGAAGAGAATTACATATATGACTGGGTGTAAAACGACAAATGAGTAAATGAAATACTGCAATTTCTAATTATGAGCTGTCTATCTATGGCCTACCCCTCCACTCGAAAAAGAACCTAAATACAGGTCTAAGATAGTTGACTGAGGTACAACTTAAAAGCTGTATCATTTGTGTTTACTAAAACATACCCCAAACAAAAGTGCAAATGATGGACATTTTTTCATTGCTAAGGTTAAAGGGTTATGGCCCTTGAATTTACATTAAATGTATACGATAGGGTGCCAGGGAACAAAACATATGCCCACAGCAGCTAAAAAACCGAGCGGGCGACAAGGATTGTCGCATATTTATGCTTTTGTAGGTAATAAGGGGCATTTACAAGATAATTTCATACAGATCAGTTTATAATTTTTGTCGTTTGAGGGTTCACAAGGTTCTACAAAATGAAACAAGGGCCTTACCTCGGGAAGTAATTTACAGGAATTGTTGAAATTCGACAGGCTTTTTCCTTTTACTAATTTAAATAATGCATATGAATTTCATACATATCGGATGATAACTTTCATCAATCGAGCGTTCACAAGGTTAAATAAAGTGAAACAAGGGCCATAACTCTAGGTGTAATTAACGGAAATTGCTGAAATTCAATAGGCTTCTTTGTTTTACCAATTTAAATGATGCATATAAATTTCATACAGTTCGGATGATGACTTATGTTGTTTTAGAGTTCACATGGTTCAAGAAAGTAAAACAAGGGCATTAACTCCAGAAGTAATTGACAGAAATTGATGAAATTTGATAGGTTTCCTCATTTCACTAATTTAAATGATGCATATAAATTTCATAAAGAGCGGATAATAAGTTTTGACATTCAAACGTTCATAAGGGTCAACAAAGCAAAACATGGGCCATAACTCTAAAAGTAATTTACGGAAATTGCTGAAATTCAATAGGCTTCTTCATTTCGCTACTTTAAATGATGCATATAAATTTCATACACATTGGATGATAACTTTCGTCATTCAAAATTGATGAAATTCAATAGGCTTCCTCATTTCACTAATTTAAATGATGCATATCAATTCCATACAGATCAGATGATAACTTTCGTTACTGAAGTGTTCACAAGGTTCAACAAAGTTAAACAAGGACGATAACTCTAGAAGTAATTATTAGGAATTGCTGAAATTCAATAGGTTCTTCTTTTCACTAATTTAAATGATGCATATGAATATCATACAGATCACATGATAACTTTTGTCATTAGAGCATTCACAAGTTCCAATACCAGCGGTTGCCAGGCAAGATACGCCCACATTTTGCAAGAGATGGATGTAGAACAATCTAAACAAAAAAAAAGCGATTTTTCGCACAATCAGGGGCCATAATCCACGAAGTTATGGTCTGAAATGCGCAAATATCGAGAGGAACCAAGATACTTGGGTAATAAACATACCTCTAAAGGATCCACAACCTTCGAATTACCAATCTGATTAAAACACAGATCCTATTTCGTTTCGTTTTTTATAGTTTAAAATTTTATTTTATTTGTCTGTACTAAACTAGGATCTGGAAGAGTTGTTATATACTCTTCTAAAAAAGTAGGGGATATTGAAATGCAAATACCTATGCAGGTTGTGATATGATAAATAGTCATGGACACTTGGCATGCTTTGAGAGTATGTTCACAGATGAAGAACTTTCCACCCAACAGAACCACTGAGCTGCACGTGCGACACGCAATAGAGCCATACAGGTGGGAGGTGTTCATTATCAAATTTGACACTTCAAGGAAGATATTCTTTAAGTGGCATTTAGCGATCAGGGAACAAATTAACAGAACACAGTTTTTATGGGATACAATCACTAGTTTATTCTAAAAGCAAGACGTTTCGACAAGTATCCTCTTATCGTTATCAAGCACAAATGACAATTTAGTAAACTTGTGGACAATATATATGAAATTAATAAGAAACCATCTGCATGGATTAAGAATAACAGTAATAGAAATAATCAAGGTGTCCATGTGGCACAATTTCACTGTCTCTACATCTCATGAGAAAGGTTAAGTTATTACACACTCTTATATATTTATCTTCAAGTTTACTAATCTGGCGAACACACTTAGTTGCCACATCCCCATATTGACGTTGAACATATTCTTTAAGTGGCATTTAGCGATCAGGGAACAAATTAACAGAACACAGTTTTTATGGGATACAATCACTAGTTTATTCTAAAAGCACGACGTTTCAACAAGTATCCTCTTATCGTTAAATGCCACTTAAAGAGTATTATAAATGTTTCATTACCGAAAAAAGTAAACATATGTAGGGTGACCCACCATAAATAAATATCTCCCAAATATCTCAACAATTACTCCGTAATATTTATATATATATATATACCAAACCTTAAATTAGTTTCACACAATTATTGTAATTAAATAAACGATCATTTTGTACTTAATAAGCTATGACCATTTAATCATCTATAAATAATAGACTGAAAACTGGTTCCAAGAGTCGTCCATAACATCCAGACACTTTTGAGTAAAAGATAGGTTACGTGCCCTTGTTTTGAAATTAGTCTCGCTTAACCAGTCTACCGACCATTCTAGGTCTGATTGACAGGTCGGGATAATCAAGACTATCTTTTTACGAAACATTTAAACAGAAAGCTGGAACAAAAAATTGAATTTAGAAATTAGCACGTTAGCCAACTCAACAATTGTTTTAAGATACTTGTAAAAGTAAAATGAAACTACTGCTAGTATCATGTTCTTGCTAACGAAACTTATTCAGAGATATTATTTGTACTGAACCAAAAGATACCACTCCTAACGGTACAGTTTGATAAAGCAATTTAAAAAAATAAAACGAACGTAATTTCTAAAGCTGTGTAATAACCAAGAAGCTAAATTTTACTGCTATTCAAAATTCTCAACAATAGATTTTTTATGGCTGTAATTGTTGAAAGATTTATAGAGAATTGCACGTGCCATGGCTATTTATAGTCTCATACACTCCACCGCTGACCTATTATCATAGTTAGAGACACAACCACTGAAGCGTGTACATTGGCCGTGTCGAGACCAACTTTCTGAAGAGTGCACGGGTCACCATAACATATGCGATAACTCTTGTTGACTACCCTGACGTTTTAGATGCTGTGGGCGTATGTTTTGTTGCCTAGCAACCTATGTTTAAATTTGGTTTTCTTATAAAACAACATATCTCGGCCATCTTGTTGTATTCGCTGGCAAAGTTGCAACAGTAAAATCTGCCAAATTCATCTATTTGACGTCGGCTGACAACAAAAATGATAATCTGCTCTGTATGAAATTGTTTTATAAATGCCCTTGTTGTATTTGATGGCAAAGTTGCAACAGTAAAATCTGCCAATTCATCTGTTTGACGTCAGCTGTCAACAAAAATGATAATCTGCTCTGTATGAAACTGTCTTATAAATGCCCCCAATTACGTACAAAAGATTATAAATATGCGACAACCCTTGTTGACCTCCTAAACAACTTAGCTGCTGTGGCCGTCTATTTTGATGCCTGGCACCTATCTTTATGATCTAGTCATCCTCTAATAATATATTTTTTATTTCTTTCAGGTAAAGTGACTGCCTTTGTTACAACGTTCAGGTATATTGATTGTCTTTGTTAGATTTTTACAAAGAAACTCGATTGTTTTTAAGGTTGGCTATCTTATAAAACAAGATCAGCCATCTTGTTGCATTCTCTGGCAAAGTTTCAACAATAAAATCTGCCAAGTTCAGCTGTGTGACGTCAGCTGTCCTATTATATAAGCGTCAACTATACATTAAAACTGTTGTATCCTCTGGCAAAGGTGCAACAATATAATCTGCCAAACTGTTGTAATCTCTGGCAAAGGTGCAACAACATAATCTGCCAAACTGTTGTATTCTCTGGCAAAGGTGCAACCAAAAGACCTGTCAAGTTCAACTGAGTGACGTCAGTTGTCCTATTATCGAATTGTTATTTAGAAGTGTAGCAAGCTTCTATCTTAGGAATCGCTTTATCACAAATCTTTATAAGGAACTGAGTGACGTCAGTTGCCTAAATTAACGAATTGTCATTTAGAAGTTTAGCAAGCTTCTATCTTAGGAATTGCTTCATCACAAATCTTGATAAGGAACTGAGTGACGTCAGTTGCCTAAATTATCGAATTGTCATTTAGAAGTTTAGCAAGCTTCTATCTTAGGAATTGCTTTATCACATATCTTTAATAACGAATCAAATATCGAATCTTATAAACTAACTATATAAAATGCCAAGACGAAAGAAAACCAATCGAATAAATAACCTGACAGGGAAACCAATCAAAGAAAAGGATTTAAAGAAAGGAGATAGTTCATGTGAGGAAATTTGTACCGATCAATTAGAAAAGTTGCATTCAAATGCACTGAAGATTATTGAAACAAATGTGAGTGATACACCATGTAAACCTGTTATAGACCAAAGTGTACTCAATATTAACAAGATTAATATAAAGCCTCCTGTTTTAGCCAGCTGTCATCAAGGAAATGCACGATTTAGTAGATTTAGTGGAACTCAGTGTGTCTGTATGAGCGTTATGCCTGTGTTGTTTAGTAAAATAAAGGCTTTAGATAAATGGAATTGTGCAGATTTGGATAGAATATTAATAGCCGGAAATGAGCTGTATGTCTCACTACAGTCCCTGTCCTTAGTTAATAACCGTTATATTCTTTTATCAGAACTTCCAAGCAAGTTAGAACAGTTTGGTCAAATGTTTGATCTTCATATTAGTCAGGAATCTTATGTTGGTTTACTATGGTCTACATACCCAAATGCAACAGATAATATAGTCATGAATTTATATGAAGCCCTTCAGACTTGTCTGTTATCACATGATTCATGTTTTGTTACATTTGGTAGAAACACTTCAATACTTTCTTTATATTTGATTCACACAGCAGAAATAAGAGAGGCTTATTGTC